TGTTAGGGCAGTGGAAGCAACCCTCAGACAGCCCAGTGGCCTAAGTCAACTGTGTCAAGACTATATATTCAAAAGAGGGTATAGGATACAACTCACCTAAGTCAACTGTGTCAAGACTGAGGGGACACAGACTGACTTAGGTCCTACTTATATACTATGTGAAAGGGATGAGTAAAGGAATGTTACTAAGGGATGACTTAGAGTCCAAGACCAGCCAGGCTATTCCAGCAGAGTCCACAGCAGTCCAGTCAAGTCCATGGAACCTCCTGGACTATTCCAGAGGAGTCCAGATAGGTCCATTCCAGACAGGTCCAGATAGATCCATTCTGGAATGTTCCAGATGGATCTACTTCCAGACTGTTCTAGACCAGTCTCCTTCTGGAATGTTCTAGTATGTTCTTGTATGTTCTTCACCTGGAACATTCTGGGCCTCAGTAGGACCCCTGAAAGTACCAATGGAGGTTAGATACCTGAGAACCTGATTTCCTTCATTTTTACCGGGACCGAATTTCACCTAATTTGGCTGTTTTTACCGGGATGCGATACCAACCTAGCCATGTAGCTCGAGATTTACCGGGACCCAGATATCCAACCTCCCAATTTTGATCCAGTTACAAGGGTTTTTCTTAGCCAATTTGATCAAAATAAGGCATTATTTGCTACAGTATGCCATATATAGGCTCAATGTTGCCAAAACAGTGCAGTCTCAGCTCAAATATTTATTGAGGCAAATTGTGGCTGCACAAGTGAGTGATTGAGTGCCGGGAGAAGCCGGGGATATACCACAATGGTATCTAACCTTGGATATCGAGCCTCAATTCTACTGGGACTGAAGTATCCGGCCTCTTGAGCGCTTCGTCACATTTTACCGCAACCGTATCTAACATACGGCCTCCAGACCTCACACCTTTATGGAATTGGTATCTAACCTCCATCAGTATTTTCAGGGGTCCTGCCTCAGTGAAGTGACCAAGTCACATGACCTCAACAAACTTTGTCAAGACTGTTTGTACATATTTGTCCCAGTGGCTCTGCATCCAATACAACCAAAACCTAATACTCCCACCTTGTGAGGATGCAGAAGAAACCAGCTCCCACCTACAACCACAAACAGGCATCCCTCACATACCCCTCCAATAATAAGAATTAAACCAGCATCAACAACTCCCACCTAACCAAGACCTCAAACAATCCAGCAGGGATGTGACAGAGAGAGCAAGAGTTGCAGGAAAACCCAATGATCCAGAAAGAGTGGGAAAATCAAGACAACAGGCTTGAAGAACTCCCTTAGGACCCATAGACTTCACGACTTCTCTTCCCCAGTGGTGTAACTCTGATCTCTGTGTATAGTGACTTGAATTGTGTGGGAATTGTTGTACCTTGGTGGTATTCCACTCTATACACTAGTGAGAGGCCATCAGACAATCAGACCTTCTGGCAGTTCCCAGGGAAGGTTCCAGGAGCAGCACCACTGAAAAGTGGTAGCAATTTAACAAGCAGTCAGATTTTCCCATGCTCTTAGGTAAACCTGCAGCTGTATAGTAGGTGACCACCCCCGCAAAGGGGCATAGAGTTCTCACTAGTATTGGACTATTGGACTGGGAAACTGCAAATTCTATCCTGGAGCTGGCTGTGAGAAATACAAATTCCTGCACCCACATAGCCCACATGTGCAGTGTATGGATGCCATTGATCCCATCTGCATATTTCTATGCACTCATCCACAGTACCCCTGGGAATAACTGCCATAAAGGCAAGGATATAAATGAGGTTGTAATGACTACCCTATCATAATTTGCTATTTTTAGCAGATGATTACTTCATGTATAACATGCATCAGCATCATACTTATCCCTGAATATTTTACAAAATGTTCTACATTTTCCTGGTTTTATTTAGCCCTATGGAAGCTTTTGAAACCAGGAGTCTATTAATGACACTAATAATGCTGTGGCATCCTGATCTACAGTACCAGTGTTCCAGGCTGGAATGATTCACAGTGCCATCCATCTACAGTATCATGTATGGCATTCAGCCCCAGAAATGAAGTACAGTACCATTCACAGCCATCTACATTGCCAGTCAGTATTAACCTATTGTAATACAGTAATGTATATTATTGCTGATTGCAAAAGTATTGGCACATGGGAATTTCCCACCAAAGTGAGCGCTGATACACCCCAACACTCTGACCTCTGAAAATGTGGATTCAGCCTCATGTACAACTTCTCAGAGAGCCTATTCTACATCTCTATTGTCTGTGGCTTATCAACTCAATGCTGGAGGGAAATGACACCATTAGACGCTACTATGACATCTGGCAAGGACTTCGATGGCCTTCAGTCGGGTCAGCTGTCAATCACTGACTCCTCCTTCACCGCTTTGACTGGTTCAATTGCTGGAGCATAGGCCTGATGGTCTGGTACTACCATTCTATCAACACTCCTTTGCCTTGCACAATGGCACACTACTCTGACATATGCACCAAGATCTGACCATGTTAGGAAGCGATGTCCTAACTAGTCGTCTTGAGATAACTGGGCCACGTGCCAACAGTTATGTCGTCACTACCTCAGTAAGCGTACTGAAAGGTAGGTCTGGCCGGGCCAATGCCAACAGTCAAGTCAAGAGTCCAGGTAATCGCTGTATTCAACAGGAGGTTGAACTAAGGAATACATGGGTTTTCCTACAGTATATATAGTAACTGGTATAGGGGTTAATACCCAAAGGAGAGAACAATAAGAAAGGACGCGTAAGCCATCCTGTGAGAACGTAACTCAGAGAAATGAGAAATACAAGGGCGCCTATTGGTAGAAGGTGAGTCAAGGGAGATAACGTGTGAGAAGAAGATAGCGTCCGTGGGAAGGTCTACTCAGAGAAAGGTACTGTCCAATAGCAATGCTCGGAATGGAGATGGAATGAGATAAGCATGGGAAAATCATAACAGACCAAAGAAAGCCTCGAGGATGGGATCACCTAACCATATGACATATAGTGGCTGGAGGGACAGG